TTAAGCCCAATTTGGTCTAGGCCCGAGGTGGGCTTAATAGCCGGCGACTACTCTATCAAGTTTAGACTTCTTGAGTCTGTCTTCGCATCGGGTGAAGGTGAATGAGGGTAGGCAGTATGGTAGTACCGGTACAAATGTCTACTGTCACTTACAACTAAATCACGCGGTGTTCTGGCCTGCATTGGGGAAAGCGGCTAATGCTGGATCACGTTTCAGTCTTCATAACCCTGGGTGAGGATAGAGAGTGCGGTAGACGGTGTGCAAAGTCACTTAAAACTAAGCCTCTGTCACCAGTCACCTCTCTGCAACAACATGTTTGGAAAATTTGGTGGACTTCCTCGAAATAGATGGTTGAAATATCATATTCGCTAAATGTCAGGTAAAATTTGAGATTTAACTCTCAGGCACAGCTGTTTTTCAACGCCATTCGTTTTATTTTTAGTGAACTTCATATCTTTTAAACAGATAAGATTACAGTGGTACTATATGTACCTTTCAGGAGAGATTTGTACAAACTTCGAATATGCCCCCAAAGTAATAATGTGAGGACCAACTTGCGTTGTGCCCAGTGCCACGGCCCGCTTCGGTGTCAATGTTCTTCAGGCCATCACGAGAAACCTTCATTCGGACGACCGCTTCGCCGTCTCCATCGCCGACAGGGCTTCAAAAAAGAGATTTCCCAACAAGTCAGTGCAAGTCACATAGGAAATGTTCGTGCACCAGTGTGCGGCGCTTGAGAGATCACAGTGGAGACCACGTCCGTTTGTCGACCTCTTCACGATGCACGTCTGACAGCTTGTCTCCTTCGGGAAGACATCTGCAATGGAAGTGTTACTTCTTTTCGAAGATGCGCATGCAAACCTGTATCAATCAAAATGAGTTTCTCGCAGTGAGTACCACCTTTCACTGGTGTTAGTATTGTGCAGAGACCCGCTGATGTCAGCACTGGTGTTAACATTTGGAGAGCTGTTTGCTATCTCAACACCAGAAGGATCCCCAAACAATAAGTCTGGGAAGACTGATTGAATTCGAACAACTTTATTGCTCAAGAAGCTTTACAGTGGCGCCGCGTACGATAGCCAGCCGTGCAGGCGCAAAAATCGGTGTACAAGTGCCTATGCACGCGGGCTCAGCTAAACCTGTCCAGTCTTCAGCCAATCAGGAGAGGATGCGGATACTAGCATCAGAGTTCGCGAGGAATCGATTAGCTGCGGGCGAAGGCGTGTCGACAGCGGGGGATGCAAAAGTACCAGAGCGTGCAGGGGTAAGAGGATGAGTCAGCGCTGGGCGCGCGGCTATACAAAGGTTTGGAAGATGAGAAGGAAGTGAATACGCGCGGCACTACCGAATTCAGGCTGCCAAATATCACTTATCGACCGGAAATCATGTGTAAGTTGTGATGCAATCACGCCTGAGTCAAATCATGAGTCATGCATTAGGATGATACTTGTAAAGTGAAAACTAATCACTTTCCATTAACTCGGTTTTTCCTCTCATGTCACGTAAATTTTGAACCAGAACTCTCGTCCAACGACGGTCATGTCTTTTACACAGAGAAGCTTACATTGAGTGCAAGTCTGGCAGGAGACATAGGCTTCAGGTATCACTATGCGGACCATACCGACCACATACCTGCTTCTCCTCCTCCTACTCCTCTGGGAATAAAGTAAACTAACCAACCGAGCTGAGCGAAGTCATTTATTCGATTCACAGGTGAGTCTCAATTGGAAAAGAACATGGACCATCGCATAGAAGTAGATTATCCTAACTCACAAGTAGTAGAGGACCGAATAGGCTTAAAGTCGATGAGAATGCCAGCCACTATGCAAACGTATCCCTACTGGAGTTGATCACAGGCCAGATGTCTTCCCTGTCTACACACCAGGCCATATAGTTTGTCCCTAAACGGTTGAAGAAAACGGTTCTCATTCCTCAGCTGTCGTCCTCCGAAAACAATTGAGACGTCGAAACAGTCGTCGGACTGCTCGACCGGGACGAAATCGTCGTCTTCTACGACGTCGCATTTGACACTGAACTCTCACTTACTACTGTCCTCGTACGTGAAACTTGCTTGCCTTTTCATGGAATGGTTATCTTCTGGACAGAAGCTTTTCCGGGAAGATGAGCGCAAGCGTGGAATATGCATGACATCACACAAAACCTACCTACACTACCGTCGACGACAATGTCCTCCGTATTGTCCAAATGCACGTCCGTTGACCTATCCTTTGCCAAC